TATGCAGAAATAACTCTATTATACAATGAAGTACAAAATAATCCATAACATCGGTTAGTTTTTCAAGTTACATTGTCATATACGTGTTAATATTTTAAAGAAATTGATTTCCAATGTCTGATTTTTTGTATTAATATACAAGTGGATTTATAGGTTGCATTACTTGGAGGTTTTACCAACATATTCCATATGCCTATACAAACATGTATTCGTATTATTATTTATAGAATATGCTAGTAAAGTTGTATGGATAAAACTAAAACATCCTTTATGTGATATCGAACAACAAAACAGTCCGTTGTCATTTCGTGTTTTTAATACAACTTTTTAATAAAGTATTTAAATCTATATGTTGATACAAATCTCTTTTTATTTTCACGAATAGAACATGTTAATAAACACGGTAGTAAGAAACTGAGAAATTCTGTACGTACGTTATATCTACAAGACGATATTTTTGAAAAGTCAAGTCACACTACAATGATTTTTGTCGCCATATTTGAACGATGTCCAGCGAACCCTGAAAAATTCTTTATTGAAATACGTACTGTTTATTTTTAAATGAATTATATATGAATTATTTTATATATTTTCAATCAATTTTACCTTTCACATCTATCACATAACATTGGACATCATTTTTTTTTTAATATTAGTTTTAGTATTAATTTCATAAGTTTTATTTGAATTTTGAGGCTGAAGGAATGTAGTGTTAGTTCAACTTGAAAGCTGTGGTCGTAATAGATACCTATCGCTAGTAAACTATCACCTGACACCATTAAACTGATTTCTTGTGGTTAATGAACAGATTATTAGTGTTTTAAAATGATCGAGTGTTCGTTCATATAAATTCGTATAAATCGTGACTGAAATTCTGACAGAAACGGAACGCGACAATCGGAATACTGATAAATGTGATAAATAATATAATCTTTGTGTGAAAATGATTATAGGCTAAATACACTTATAAAACTTCTTGTTTCTAACTCTTTATTCAAACATTACAAATTGATCCAAATACTTTTATGATATAATGTAAACAGAAATTAAGCATATTTACTGTCAGTCATTAACTAAAAGCTATGGGTGAGAAGTACGTGTACTTTATTATTATTCTATTATTTTTACGTTATTACTTTATTATTGCGTTAAGTTTCTTATTGAAATTGTTTATTTTTTGTTCAAATATTTCTTCATTTTTTCAGTAATTTTATAATACCTTTCGAGTAAGAAAGTAACATTATAAAAGTAGTTTTAAAATAGGTTTCTTATCTTATAATTAATAATGTATCTTCAGCAAATGCGTTTAACAATATACTTATTTAATGATTAACAATAATAAAAGTTAAACACATAATAATTAAAGTTAAACGATTTTAAATATAATTCTAAAATAATTAGTGTATGCGACATAATTACCTGAAAACCCGTTATATTACGCAAAATTAACATGTTATTTTTCTAGCATTATACAAGAATGGTTTTTAAATTTTCATAAATTATTTACAATTTGTTAAAGTATACATACATATTAATAATTCGAACAACCGTTCTTAACATGTGTAACCATTAAACTTGAAAACTTATTCTCACTTATTTTTCATACTTTTTCTAGTTTTCTTTTAAAAACATAAGCAAACACATACTCACAAATCATCAATATCAAGTTAAGCTGCTTACAAATGAGTACCGAGAACGTAGAACAACCTGTTAAAAATGCAGTAGTGTAAATAATTTATTATATTACAATAAATAATGGTATAATTGATATTTCGATTTCTAGAATAACTCTGTTAATTACCAACTGCAATCTGTATCTTCTTATCAAGATTATATTTTTATTTGCAAAACGTGCGAACAACATAATAGATAAAACAAAACTGCTTTCTTAGATTATGCGATAATTACAGTTCATGTTCATTGAACTCATTTTTGAAATGACTTTTACATACATTGTAAATCATAGATCTATTTAATGCTAATATATCTGCAGTTTGTCGTAACGTTTTGCCTTTCGTTCAATGAAATCACCAATGATCTGATATTATTGTCTGTATTCCTTTCTCTCGCTATTGTACTTCGTTTCTAATACAATTACAAATATGTTTTACAGCAACTTTACACAATTTTACACTAATACAATGTGAAATGTCAACAAGTTTGCAATTAGAGTGGAACTGAGTTAATATACCGTCGTTTTGAATTACGGCGGGAAATCATTTCCTAATTAACACTTCGTTGATGATTATTCATAATTAATTAAATATTCGAGATTTGAAAAAATGGAGCACCAATCATATTATTGTAGTGTCTTTAATACATAATACTCAACATAATTATTAATAAATAAGCGCATTGGAAATGGAAATATTATTTTTGTTTTTATTGGTTGTACGATAAAAGATGTTATTATTACCTCATTATAATTAATTTATAATTCATTGTAATTATACTTATAAGTATTGTAATTATTATTGAATACTGTTTCTCGAGTTTTTTAAAACTATATTAAACACAGAGTATCTTCGATACTCAATAATCGATTGAATTATTTATAAATAAACTACTTAAAAATCTCAGTAGTATTTACTGTTCTATAAATAAAATAATTTTTAGAAAAAAAATACACCGACTTCGAAATGCACTAAAAAGTATAAAATAATTTCTATTTCCTAATGAAGTAATTTCTATTTCATTCAATCATACAATTACGTAACAGATGTGAATGAAACCTATTTACTCGTTAGGTATTATATTAAATACATTTCAACCTTTTCGGAGGCGGCTCAAAATTAAAAGATTATTTTGAATATGTTATTTAATTTTGCGAGTATTATCCTAACGAGTAAATAGGTTTCATTCACATCTGTTACGTAATTGTATGATTGAATGAAATAGAAATTACTTCATTAGGAAATAGAAATT